AACAGAGCCTTGGGGGCAAGCTGCAAATGCTCAGTTTGGTGTGTATTGTTAGAGTTTTTTTGTTCTTGGGGGAGTGCATGTGGCCAAACAGTGCTGTCCAGGCAGAGGGTTAGGGGTCCTGCAGCCTCATAAGGGAGAATTAAATCTCCCCCTACAAGCTTTAACTAGTGCTCTGCTGGACACAGATAGAAGTCACAAGACTGCGATATACTGCTGATTTAGCAGTGCATATTTAATAAAATACTTGCATTTCCATGTTATGTGAACTGTGGGAGACCAGATATAGTGAATGCAGGGTCCTGGATTTACTAACACTTTAAGTTTTTTTTTTAAGTTCCACTTTGAATCTTTAAAAACATTCTAACCTACCTCCCACTATCTGCTATTCCCTGCCTTCTCCTGTGTCTATATTATAGGTGAAACTCGAAAAATTAGAATATCGTGCAAAAGTTCATTTATTTCAGTGATGTAACTTAAAAGGTGAAACTAATATATGAGATAGACTCATTACATGCAAAACAAGATAGTTCAAGCCCTGATTTGTCATAATTGTGATGATTATGGCTTACAGCTCATGAAAACCCCAAATCCACAATCTCAGAAAATTAGAATATTGTGAAAAGGTGCAATATTCTAGGCTCAAAGTGTCCCACTCTAATCAGCTAATTAAGCCATAACACCTGGAAAGGGTTCCTGAGCCTTTAAATGGTCTCTCAGTCTGGTTCAGTAGGAATCACAATCATGGGAAAGACTGCTGATCTGACTGTTGTGCAGAAAACCATCATTGACACCCTCCATAAGGAGGGAAAGCCTCAAAAGGTAATTGCAAAAGAAGTTGGATGTTCCCAAAGTGCTGTATCAAAGCACATTAATAGAAAGTTATGTTGAAGGGAAAAGTGTGGAAGAAAAAGGTGCACAAGCAGCAGGGATGACCGCGGCCTGGAGAGGATTGTCAGGAAAAGGCCATTCAAAAGTGTTGAGGACACACAGACGGATCCTGGACATGGGCTTCAAATGTCGTATTCCTCTTGTCAAGCCGCTCCTGAACAACAAACAATGTCAGAAGCGTCTTACCTGGGCTAAAGAAAAACAGACCTGGTCTGTTGCTCAGTGGTCCAAAGTCCTCTTTTCTGATGAGAGCAACTTTTGCATCTCATTTGGAAACCAAGGACCCAGAGTATGGAGGAAGAATGGAGAGGCACACACTGCAAGATGCTTGAAGTCCAGTGTGAAGTTTCCACAGTCTGTGTTGATTTGGGGAGCCATGTCATCTGCTGGTGTTGGTCCACTGTGCTTTATTAAGTCCAGGGTCAATGCAGCCGTCTACCAGGAGATGTTGGAGCACTTCATGCTTCCTTCCGCAGACGAGCTTTATGGGGATGCTGCCTTCATTTTCCAGCAGGACTTGGCACCTGCCCACACTGCCAAAAGCACCAAAACCTGGTTCAACGACCGTGGGATTACTGTGCTTGATTGGCCAGCAAACTCACCTGACCTGAACCCCATAGAGAACCTATGGGGCATTTCCAAGAGAAAGATGAGAGACATGAGACCAAACAATGCAGAAGAGCTGAAGGTCGCTATTGAAGCATCCTGGTCTTCCATAACACCTCAGCAGTGCCACAGGCTGATAGCTTCCATGCCACGCTGCATTGAGGCAGTAATTGCTGCAAAAGGAGCCCAAACCAAGTACTGAGTACATATGCATGCTTATACTTTTCAGAGGTCCGATATTGTTCTATGTACAATCCTTGTTTTATTGATTGCATGTAATATTCTAATTTTCTGAGATTGTGGATTTGGGGTTTTCATGAGCTGTAAGCCATATAATCATCACAATTATGACAACTCACGGCTTGAACTATCTTGCTTTGCATGTAATGAGTCTATCTAATATATTAGTTTCACCTTTTAAGTTGCATTACTGAAATAAATGAACTTTTGCACAATATTCTAATTTTTCGAGTTTCACCTGTATTATGCTTCTATACCATGGTGATGCAACGCAACATTTCCTGCTGAAGTCTTTTTTATTGTTTTATCTATTCCTTTCCCTAGTAGACTGCAAGCTGTTTTGTCCAAGTTTTTTATAATGTAATTAATATGGTGTATTTTTCAGAGGGCTTACAAAAAATGTTAGTTACATACCCTCAGATAAGCTCCTCTGGAAATGTCAGGCTACTCACATTACATAAATGAGCCATAATTGACATTTCCATATTGTGTATTACCATAAAACGCGCATTTTGGATGATGCCGATAGAATGGAGTTCAGAGGACTGTGTGGGTTGTGGTGAGCCACAGATAGAATACCTTACACTCTTTCAGCCTTCCCCAGGGATCGCTGACTATCATCATTAACACAGGCAGGAGATCTACACTTTTCTTTCAGCAAAAATGTGCAGACTTTGGAAAATGTTCAGCTCAGTGAAAACATAGCCTAGGGCTGTGTGATATTCATGCCTGAACTGAGTGAAGAGCAGGAATCCCACTGAACAATAACTGAATCAAGCAGTGCTTACTTAGAGGGGTCATCCATTACGAAACTTCGTTATCATTCTATGTGATTTCTTCAGTGTCACATTATACATTCATGAAAGAGTTACAGAAAATGAGAAAGACAAATCCTCTAAGCACTATCTGCCTCAATTTTGGTCATACATTACAATACAATTGCAAGGCCGTTTCAGAGGAAAAAAGATCAGCACTCTGTAAATAATAGGCAGTCTTTCCATGGATATGAATATACAGTATCTCACAGAAGTGAGTACACCCCTCACACAGGGGCGGACTGACCATTTGGAAACTCGACCACTGCCCGAGGGCTCGGGGTCAGTAGGGGGCCCCATGAGATGCCCCTGGTACCTTTTTCATAGGCTTTTTTGAGTTTGGGCAAGGACACAGGGGCCCCTTGATCCCCTATTGCCCGGGGGCCCCATGAGTTGTCAGTCCGCCCCTGCCCTCACATTTTTTTGTAAATATTTTATTATATCTTTTCATGTGACAACACTGAAGAAATTACACTTTGCTACAATGTGACGTAGTGAGTGTACAGCTTGTATAACAGCGTAAATTTGCTGTCCCCTAAACATAACTAAAACACACAGCCATTAATGTCTAAACCGCTGGCAATAAAAGTGAGTACACCCCTACGTGAAAATGTCCAAATTGGGCACAAAGTGTCAATATTTTGTGTGACCACCATTATTTTCCAGCACTGCCTTAACCCTCTTGGGCATGGAGTTCACCAGATTCACCAGAGCTTCACAGGTTGCCACTGGAGTTCTTCCACTCCTCCATGATGATATCATGGAGCTGGTGGATGTTAGAGACCTTGCGCTCCGTTTGAGGATGCCCCACAGACGCTCAATAGGGTTTAGGTCTGGAGGCATGCTTGGCCAGTCCATCACCTTTATCCTCAGCTTCTTTAGCAAGGCAGTGGCCATCTTGGAGGTGTGTTTGGGGTCGTTATCATGTTGGAATACTGCCCTGCGGCCCAGTCTCTGAAGGGAGGAGATCATGCTCTGCTTCAGTATGTCACAGTACATGTTGGCATTCATGGTTCCCTCAATGAACTGTAGCTCCCCAGTGACGGCAGCACTCATGCAGCCCCAGACCATGACACTCCCACCACTATTCTTGACTGTAGGCAAGACACACTTGTCTTTGTACTCCTCACCTGGTTGCCGCCACACATGCTTGACACCATCTGAACCAAATACGTTTATCTTGGGCTCATCAGACCACAGGACATGGTTCCAGTAATCCATGTCCTTAGTCTGCTTGTCTTCAGCAAATTGTTTGAGGGCTTTCTTGTGCATCATCTTTAAAAGAGGCTTATTTCTGGGATGACAGCCATGCAGACCAGTTTGATGCAGTGTGCGGTGTATGGTCTGGGCACTGACAGGCTGACAGGCTGACCCCTTTCAACCTCTGCAGCATTGCTGGCAGCACTCATGCATCTATTTCCCAAAGACAACCTCTGGATATGACGCTGAGCACGTGCACTCAGCGTCTTTGGTCGACCATGGCGAGGCCTGTTCTGAGTGGAACCTGTCCTGTTAAACCGCTGTATGGTCTTGGCCACCATGCTGCAGCTCAGTTTCAGGGTCTTGGCAATCTTCTTATAGCCTCGGCCATCTTTATGTAGAGCAAAAATTCTTTTTTTTCAGATTCTCAGAGAGTTCTTTGCCTTGAGGTGCCATGTTGAACTTCCAGTGACCAGTATGAGAGAGTGAGAGTGATGGTGAGTGGTTACAATGGCCTAAAAAAATGCTCCATTTTTTCAGCACAGAACTGTACTGGAACATGGCAAAATGCATGAAAACTGCACTGGAACACATTTAAATACATAAAAAAATGCATTACAGGAAAAAAACCCAAAATACAAAAGGAAACTTTGGGAAAAAAAAGAGAATAAAATGCACTGAAATGCAGCAAAATTGCATAAAAAACACACATGTGTACATGGACTGTGTTTCTGTGATGTAAACCAGCCCTAAAAGATGAATTTCAGGAAAATCGCTATATACACAATTTCATTACATATATGGGAGCTGTTATTTTCCAAAAGATTTGTATTTCTGTCCATGCAGTCCTGAGATTTGCCCAGAAACAGCCAGGTTGGCAGTTAAAGCTCAGTTCTCGATGCACAAAACTTTAATTTTAATATATTCCTTCATACCCGAAAGAGAATATACTGTAGATCCACTGCGTGTGCACCAAATGCCTTTACAAACTTAGATATTACCTTGTACAAGTGGCACTGACCTCAAAACTGGGCCCAGGAGGTCCTGCAGCTACAGACTGCCTGTTGAAAATTACAGGGGCGCAGACAAGACCCGCCATGCACAAGGAAAAAGAGCACAGTCACCGGTCTGTACTACAGGAAGTTGTTTCATACTGGACTACTGCATAGATCTGGAAGAATGAACGAAAGATGTCAAAATTCAAGCAAGAATACACATAGCTTTTGTATTTAGATACAATTACTGCTTTAGGCAAAAAATGCCCCCAGGCAGTGGTGGACTGACAACTCATGGGGATCATGGGGCCCTGTGTTCTTGCCCACACTCAAAGCACACCCAAAAAAGACTATAAAAAAGGTACCAGGGGCATTTCATGGGGCCCCCTACTGACCCTGGGCCCTTGGGCAGTGCCTCTGTGCTCAAATGGTCAGTCCGCCCCTGCCCCCAGGCTGTGGTTGAAAATTGAAGGATTAGCAGCTGATCACCCCTCTTCTCACTGTGCTGTCTGTGCTGTCTCTTTCAGTATGCATGGTTCTTGTAAGCACACAGCACACCTAATTGTGCCCCTTCCTTTACCATTCTGCTGTGGAGGAGATTAGAAGAGGCAAATAGCAAGTGAAATATATGTACTGACCTTAGCTGCATTTAAAAATAAATGTGTATACTGTATATAAATAATACATAACTGCACTCATTGTCACTTTTCTATCTGTTCTTCCTAGCATGTTATAGATCAGTAGGTGTAAACCAGATTTAAAAAAAATTGCGATATTAACTCTGTTTTGTACATTTTGCTTTAACCACCTCCCGTCCGGCCCATGTATATAAACGGCCCGGACAGTGGCAGTGCAGGGGTGGGTTGCCGTTCATAAACAGTGCCCGTCATTTTGGACTCTGTGCGCAGCACCATGATCCGGTGCCCCGCTGTGTCCAGAGGACACCGATCGCTGTACGGGACCTCCATGTGAGGTCCCGATCATGTGATCACTGATTGGCCAATCAGTGATCACATGAATAGGAGCAAGCAAGATGTCACTTCTGACATCATTGCTTACTACTTGTGAAATCTGTGAACGATCACAGAGATCACATGGTACAAGACTATTCACATGTACCATGCGACAAGCTGTGACCAATCAAAGCTCAAACAGTATTTCTCAATGGCTGCAAGAATGCAGCTAGAGAGAAAGAAAATGATTGCTTTTACAGCCTTTATGGGTGTAAAAGCAATCAGTGTAAAAAAAAGAAAAATCTTCATCACTCCGCACAGGTAGTACAGTGTCACTATGGTGACACTACTGCTAGGGTGACAGTATGTAAAAAAAACATAAATAATAATGTAAAAAAATAAAATAAAAATGTAAAAAATGTTTTTGAAAAAATTATAATTTTTGGTTATAAACTAATTTAGGTTATTTTTATTTACTAAAGAAAAACACTTTATTTCAAAATTTTTGGACTTTTTCATTTATATAGCAAAAAAAAATTAAAATCCCAGTGGTGAATAAATGCCACCAAAATAAAGTTTTATCTGTCTAAAAAAAAATGCTAAAAAATTAATTTGGGTACAGTGTTGCATGACCGCACAATTGTCATTCAAAGTGTGACAGTACTGAGTAAGCTGAAAATTGGCCTGGACAGGAAGGGGGTAAATGTGTCCAGACTTGAAGTGGTTAACTAACATGGTGTATGTACTGTATGTATTAGCATGAGTGCATGGGTACAGACACAAACTTATCAGAGTGCCAGGCTCTGAACTGAACTTTAGTGTCTCATTTTTTTGTAAGAAAAGATAATGAAAGTATTAATATGTAATTTTAAATTCTTCTTAAAGCTGAACTCAGGGGGACAAAAACGTTCATTAAAATATATTTTTCAATAGCCTCAAGTGATATAAATCCACTTTGTGTGCACTAAATGCTTTTGCAAACCCAGTTATTATGTATTAAAAAGTGGTGACATTATCACTGTGCTGTACATAGCCTGTGCAGAGAGCAGAGCTGTGGAAGTGTCATTGCAGGTTCTCCCACTACAGGCTGCCTGCAGAAAACTCAAGGAAGGGGTGGAGACAAGACCAGTCACCCTGCACAAGGAAAGAGAGCAGCAATGACTGGTCTTTACTACAGGAAGCTCTTGCACAACATTTCACAATGCATTACTAGATAGATCTGGAAGAATAAACAAAGCTCACCACGATTCAAGTAGGAATACACACGACTCTTAATTTTTATTTATTTATTTAATTTGAGTGTGAGTACACCAGATTAGTGAGTGCAGCAATCTTCTTCCCTGATATTATTACTATAGTTGGAACATAGCAGCACATAGGTTTTTACCATTTGCATTGTTTAAAGGTGTTTATTTTAATTTTGTATGAGAACCAATGACATATAACAATTTCAGCTCATAACCCTGAGCTATAGAATGTTACAAACAGGAATCAGGGTCATGCAGGACCTGACAATATAAAAAAACAATACCTGACATCCCATACATACACATTGTCAGGGATCCGGGTATGACCAGAAATGTGTCGACTGACACAGGGACGTAACAGGCTTCAGGAATGATGTAATAACAATATAATTTATTGTTAGCCACCCAAATATACAAAACGCACAGTAAGCAAAACCAACCTTCCACTAATATCAGTATGTGCGGGAACACAGGCGTAGTCAGGGCTGGAGAAGTGGAATGGTCAGGCAGGCCGTATGGTTCTGTCAGATACCGCCTGGCGGTGCCTCTAGCAATCCACAGGACAGGATTCCCCAGAGCGCGGAGTCTAAGCCCCAATCTGCTTGTTGGTGGGGATGGACTTGGAGCAGACAGTGACCAGGTCGCGGCCCCTGAGTACACCCACCTGTGGTAGAGGGATCCGCCAGAGGTATACACTGGTAAGAGCCTGACGTGAAGAGGCGGATAGGTCCGTGCAGGACGGATGGATAAGTTGGCTGAGTAGCAAGCGTGGTCAGACAGGCCGGGTCGGTAACAGTGGGGACAGCACGGTACAAGGCAGCAGGCAAAGAGTAGTTGGGTCACTCGCCGGGTTCGGTAACAGGAGTTCAGATCAATAAGGATATCCAGAAGAGTAGTCAAATGAGCCAGGGATCAGAGCAGGAGAAGTCAGCAAGGTCAGGATTAAGCAGGGTCGGCAGCAAGGCAATCAGGAGTACAGGACAATCAGGACCAAGATACAGGGGCTCATGGGACAACACCAAGGCACTGATTGCAGGCCCGGTGCTGCTTAAATATACCTCCTGCAATCAGCCTCAGGTGATGGCTTGATTGCAGGAGTGAGATCCTGGCTGCTGAAAGCACCCGCTGCAGCCCACACAGTAGGTGAGCCCATTCCTGACACACCCGCTGGCAAGCACCGGTACTGCAGCCCACACGGCAGGTGAGCCCATTCCTGACACACATATACACATACATCATTAATACCTGCTCTCTCCCCTACCTCAGCAATTTATAGAGCACCTGGATAATCATTAGAAGAAGATCGTACATAAGGAAGTATATTGGAGAAGTATATGGGGGACCGCTGTGCTTTGGACGAGTCCAACCACACTTTCCAGATCTTCTAGAACTTGCCATGTGTAAAGTGTAATTTTTTTTTACATTTGGGAGGTCTGCAATAACTTGGCACCTGTGATAGTGTTGGAAGATTAGGATATTTCCAATTAAATAAAATACAGCTTTCCTACTTTGAAAATGTATTGATCGAAATGTAGCACAGTGAAAAGCACATTAAGAATATGTTTCCATCATGAAGGGTAGGCTATTCCAAAAGCGCAGAATAGGAGGACAAGTCCAAAACACATGGTATGTAGTGGCTGGAGATTCCCACTTCTATGTGGCATGAGCGTACGGCATAATTCCCAAGTGTTGCAGTTTGTCAGTATAGTGCAACTGATGAGTGAACGTGAATTGCACTTGTCGGCTGTGCTAATGACCTCCACAAACCATGTATCAGCAAACTCCTCCCACTTCTTCTCCAGAAGATCAGGGATACATTTAAACCATTTTGCATAAGAGGTAGAAAAAGATGTAGTTGCTTTCACCTGAAGACATTTATAGAGAGTGGCAGACAACTTGTTTTTTTTCCCTTCCAAATAAAAAAGGTGTTCCAGAGGAAACGTGGACTACATTAACGTTAGAGTACTAAACTGAGTCCTCAGAGCGTGGTGAAGTAGTAGTAGGTATTTAAAGAAAGTGTTGGTTATTCTTATCTCATCACACAAGACATCAAAGGAGAGGAAAGAGCCACTATCAAAAGCACTATTAAAAGTGTGGGTTTACCTCCGGAAAAACCACCAGAGTCTGGTTGGGATTTTCGTTACAGAGGAATGTGGGCTGAGATTAAAAAAATGAGCAAGACTGAAAGCTTATGGCCAGCAGTAGCCCAAGCTGGAAGAGAAAATGCCTCTTGTATTTCAACAAAATGTAATTATCATGAGGTTCGACTTTAAAATGTATTTTTTCAATATGTAGGTGAATGTGATCAGTTGTATCCGTTTTTTATTTAGTATTACCACCTGGAAGCTCACTTCACAATAAGAGTGCCTTTGCTGGCTACTACAGCAGTCTCATTGAACATTTGTCAGAAAATCAAGTCCTCCTAAATCACTTTATGTTGGACCCTTTTGCAGGTATAGCTACTGTATGTGAACATTAAACATAAGTGCCTATACTGTTTAAAATCCAGTAATGCACTGTCTCATGCTGCTCTGCACATGCTCAGTTGCTCTCTAATTTTTGGCACTGTATCAAAAACCAGAGCCACTAAAGGCTGATCTGCTAACAGCCTAAAGATTTACTGTTGCTCAGGGGCTCTGGGCTTCAGCAAAATGGCAGCCCCAAGCACAAAAGAAACAGAAACAATGCTGGAGGCAATTTACAGCACCCACTTATTTTTGTAGCATAATTATTAGAGATGAGCGAATTATTCAAAAATTTGGTTCGGACTATGATTCGCCGAATTCGCGGAAAAAATTCGAGCCGAATATATTCGCTGCGAATTTAACTTATAAAAAAAGGTGTTTCTAGGCTTCAGAGAGCCTTTATATTAGTGCAGAACACTGTACCTTTAATTTAAATGCCCTTGGAGTCTGCTGGGGAAGAGAAATAATACTGTCAGTCAGTATGACATGCAGATGAGTGCCGTCGATCTTAGAATGACCGCACACTTCACTCATTTGGGCAGTCACGGGGCCAAAACCAGAGTGTGGAGCCACAGTTGTGGCGGTGGAGGCAGCAGCAATGGGAGGCCATACAGCACCCTATGACAAAATGGAACCCACCAGCAGTGTGAGGAGACCTGAAAGTGGCACATGGCAGAGTGTGGCAATGGAGACAGCAGCAATGGGAGGCCGTACAGGGACCCATGACACACTCTGGACCTGGCAGCAGCAATGGAAGGGATACAGCACATGACAGATTA